AAAAAAAAAAAAAAAAAAAGAATTGTGATTTCATGTATGTGCAGGCATATTGCAATTATAGTTGGTTGGAGTGGGTCTACTATAGGAGAGGGATTAAAGGCCAATACAGAACCCCTCGCCTGTGCCCCCTCAGCCACTTGAAAGACCATTGTCAACTGATTGATTTAGCAGCCTTGATCAGAGGAAGCTGGCACTTTAGCTGAGTGGAACTCTAGGAGCCTAGGGCTTGTGTGAGTGGGTGGTTTAGACTCTTGAAGTGAGGGGTTGATGAGGAAACAACTTCGGGTTTTCAAAATGCTTTCTCATCATACTTTCATTGGATTTCTTCTTCTTTCTTGTGGGATAGCATTGTTTGAGATGAAGGTTCAATGTTTTTCCTACTCTACCACAGCTGCCTGCTTGCATAAAACTATAGGGGGGAGGATTGGGAAGATCTAGAGTCTCAGCCAGAGATTTTTTTTTTTTTTTATTTGAGACAGAGCCTCAAGCTGTCCCCCTGGGTAGGGTGCTGTGGCATCACAGCAACCTCTAACTCCTGGGCTCAAGGGATTCTCCTGCCTCTGCCTCCCAAGTAGCTGGGACTATAGGCGCCCACCCCCAACGCCTGGTTATTTTTGTTGTTGTTGTTGTTGTTGTTGGGGGGTGTTTTGTTTTGTTTTGTTTTGTTTTTGAGAGAAGAGATCTTACTTTATCACCCAGGCTAGCCTCAGCCTCCTGAGTACCTAGGACTACAAACAGGCACCAGTCTACCCAGCTTGAACAGGTTTTTTTGTTTTGTTTTGTTTTTTGCAGTTTTTGGCCGGGACTGGGTTTGAACCCACCACCTCCTGCATATGGGGCTGGCACCCTACTCCTTTGAGCCACAGGCGCTGTCCCCGGCTATTTTTTGGTTGCAGCCGTCATTGTTGTTTGGGGGGCCTGGGCTGGATTCGAACCCACCAGCTCAGGTGTATGTGGCTGGTGCCTTAGCTGCTTGAGCCACAGGCGCTGAGCCTAAGCCAGAGATTCTAAGTGTTGCTTCCTCTTAACTGCCTAACAACCCATTTCTGACAGTTTCACATTTTAGAATGATTGGCTTTCTCAAACCCATCCTTAGATAGATGGTATACTAAATCATAGGGAGTTGCTTAAGGTTCCTTGTTTGCATTAGTCGGGCGTGATAACGATAGCGCAAATGTGAAGATTAAGATAGGCATATACATTATTTTTTTGTTTGTTTTTTGTTTTTGCCGTTTTTGGCCGGGGCTGGGTTTGAACCCGCCACCTCCAGCATATGGGACCTGTGCCCTACCCTTTTGAGCCACAGGTGCTGCCCCTAGGCATATACATTATTATGTATATCTTACTCCAGTGCTTAGTGAAGGCTTTATCATCATCATCATGTTAAAGCTGTTACCTTATAATTCCAAATCACTAATAATACATGTTCTCTTGGATCTAAGTTATTGCATTTCTGGAGTAGGAGACAGGGAAAAGGGCAAAAGAGGAGCAGAAGGCTGGGTTAGGGCACAGGTTCTTTTGAGAAAGACGCATTAAGGTGGGTGCAGAGAAGAGAATGTTGTGTACAATTTTTCTCGAGCACTGATGGCAATTTTCTTTCCCTTTAGCATGATGACCGTGAAGGTGAAGGCAGTGACAAGTGGGTTAGCCGTGGCCGTGGCCGAGGAGCCTTTCCCCGGGGTCGGGGCCGATTTATGTTCCGGAAATCCAGTACCAGCCCCAAATGGGCCCATGACAAATTCAGTGGAGAGGAAGGAGAGATTGAAGATGACGAGAGTGGGACAGAGAACCGAGAAGAGAAGGACAATTTACAGCCCACGACTGAGTAGAGGCCTCTCTGGATGTGATCCCTGGCCCAGGGGAGGGGTGCTGGGAAAATGGCTGGTGAGGAGCTAAGCAGAGGAACCTCAAGAAGATTCTGAAATCTCAGCCCCACCCCTTACCAGCCATGCAGAATCCTACTACAGAGGAAAGCATCCCTGGCGCTGTGTCCCACTGGACAGAGGAGGCTGGCGGTGGAGCCTGGGGTCAGGCCCAGCTCTTGAGCAGAACACAATTGGGCTTTAGCTGTGTTTCTCATTTGTTGTTGGTGTGAGGGGTGGGGGCAGGGATAGGGAGGGAGAGTGATGTTTGGATTTTGGTTTGTTCCCTATTAGAAACCAACAGTTTTGTTCTTAATTATTTCATTTCATTTGGAGCTAAGAGGACTAATTTGATGGTTTTCAATCTCTTCCCTGTCCTGATTTTAAAAGCCCTTCTGTTTCCCCCCCCCTTTTTTTTTAGGCATATGTAGTAATATTAGATTTAATTTGGGCAACTTTGATTCTTAAAAGAGAAAACAAAGCATGTGAATAAACATTGAAGTGTTCACCTCAGTTTGGGACCAAACTGCTTGGATCTTTGTAAAAACCGGTTTTGTATGTCAAGGAGGAGTTTAAGGCCTTTCCAACCACCTTGTGTTCCCCATTTTCTGTGCAGCCATGTGTGACGTGGAGTTGCTCCTAACCACATCCTACCTACATGCCCCTCTGCCCATATTTTCTGATTTCTTCTGGGCTGGGCTTCCCCTTGTCCACCAGCAGCTCCAGTATCCCATAACTTTGTAGTCCTGCTGATCCTCTCAGCAACAGGGGTGGAAACTGGAGGGCAGTTTCTGGTCTGTTTTCTAAGAAACTTATGAATTCTATTATCTTTACAAATATAAGATGAAAAAATAATTTTTTCAATATTTTTTATTAATCTTTTTATAAAATGAAAAGAAACTCCTATGATCGATTAAGGAAGGTGGTTTATGGCTGGGTGGTTCATGGGGTTTGGGTCTTTTTGGTTAGTTTTTTCCTTTTTAACCTTAAGCTTTAATTTGAAACATTCTCAGATGTTTGGGGGGAAAACATCCTCTTAAAATGGGTCCTTGTGCTTGCCTTCTGGGGAGGCGGTCCAGAGCAGGTGGATCATATGGCATTTATGCATATGTTATATGCGGACTGCACCCATCTCTTTCCCCCCAACCTTTGCTTCTTGGGTTGTTGTGCTACTTTCCCCTTACTTTGCTACATTTCTATAGTTAAGTTGGTTTTACTTGAATGATTCATGTTTAGGGGGAAAAAATGAAAATCTCCCTTAAAATTTGTTTCAACTCCTCCTGCAAATAAAAAAATAAATGAAGTGGCAGATGTAAATGGGCTCTGGTCATTGTCACCCTGAGTGTGTGTGTGTTGAGGCTGGTAGATACTTATACAGTAGTTTTAGAAAACCTGAAAGAGAAAGTGCCTGTGAAGGCTGTGCCCAGAGGAAGCTCAGCTCTATCCTTACAAGCCCCATGTTGCTGAGTCCTAAGGAGACTCAGCTATCCCTCTGCCTGCCAGGAACTTCTCATTCCTTTCCTGTACATTGGCCACGCCAGGAGAAACAGATTTTTTTCACTGGTTTCCTGAGTAAGGACTTTGGCTTTCTTCGTGGTGGGGCCAGAGTCAAGGGGTGTGGTTAACAGACTCAGCTTTCTGTGTTCATAGAGCAGGAGGATTACCTGAAAGTTAGCCTATCCCACCCACAAGGGACTGAGCTTAGGTGGGCCCTAACCTTCCAACTTGCCAGTTCTGGGGTTGACTGAATGGGAACCTTGTAAGCTCCTAAAAGTTCTTGCTTCTTGCCTAAGCCCCAGGGAGAATATGGACGGGTTCTTTGAAACCAACTAGACCTCTGCGACTCCCAAGCAGGGGTCTTTGCTCTCTCCTTCCTCTTGGCCAGGGGGAAGGTGTGGGACCAGGGAGGGGTGCCCCTTATAGGCAAGAAAGCAGAAATTTGAAGTATAACAGCAATACCTTAGCATAGACGAGCAACTACCTCCTGCACTCAGGGTTGGCTTAGAGCGGTTGCTACCAGCTGTGGGGGGGACCCACCCAGGTATGCGCCTCTCCCCACCTGTTCCCCTGCAGCTAAAAGCTTGCTGGCTTGTGGAGGGTGGGCCAGGGTAGGACCTGGTCAAATTATGGTTGGGAGCCTTCAGGCCACGGCTGGGCAAAAAGGAGTGGCGGTTAGACTAAAATTGAGGTGGGCGGAGAAAAGCCTTAAGGGAACTGTGACCCTTGCACCTGCCAGAGACCCTAGAGGCGCCCTCGCCCTGGGTTGGGGGCCAAACCTGCTGAGCCGGGCCGCCCCCTCTCCCACACCCACTCCGAGCACCTGGAGCCTGACCTATAGGCTTACGTCTACGCCTCCTCGGCCTCGCAGCCCGTCCCACCCGACGCGGGCCCAGTACTCGGCTGCCAGCGGTACCTGCCGGGCTGTTGGAGGGCGCTGGGAAGCTATGGGTATGTGCAGAGAGTTTTGAATGACTCCTCCTGCGACAATCCACGGAAATGGCAAAGCTCACACCACCACCCTACTCTGTCCTGTACACGGAATCCGGGACCAGCTGCCCGACTGGGCCTGAGCCGCGTCCCCGCCCTGTCCTCTGCCCGCAGAGGTCTTCGTCCTGGCCGCATACCGCGCGCAGAAGGGGGACGAGCTGAGTTTGGCACCCGGGGACGTGGTCCGGCAGGTGCGCGAAGGGCCCGCACAAGGCTGGCTGCGCGGAGAGCTGAGGGGGCATTACGGCCTTTTCCCCGAGCATCTAGTGCAGGTGAGGCCAGTCCGGGGCGGGCTGGGGGTCTGAGCGTGCGCCGCCCGGGAGCTGAGAGCGCCCTTCCGGGTCCTCATTCCCAGGAGATACCAGAGACACTACGGGGTGTGGGAGAGGTGCAGAGACCGCGCTGCGCGCGCCGCCGAGGTAACAGCAGTGACCGGTGAACCGGTGGGCGGGCGCGCGGAGGCTGCGTGGCTGGGGGTGGGTGGAGCACCCCTGCTCGCGGTGATTGACGTACTTTGGGAGGGGCCGCGAGGCAGGCCTACGGTCTGTGATTGGTTCTCGAGCACAATGCTCCGCCTTAGGGCGGGTCCGGAGGTACTGAGGGTGCTCTTACGGCCCGCCCCTCCCGCTCGGCGGACTGGGGCGCTCTTGTCTGACCTCAGGTCAGCCCGCCAAATCTCCGGGCCCTCAAAGATGGTGCAAAGTGAATTTCAACTACAGCCCAGAGCAGGCGGACGAGCTGAAGCTGCAAGCTGGGGAGATTGTGGAAGTGATAAAGGAGGTGAGGGGATGGGAGGGTTTGGGTGAGGAGGCTTGGTAAAGTGAGGGCGTGTGCAATAAGAACCGTGAAGGGCGCAAAGATGGGACAGTGAGGGAGCAAGGGAAAATAGGATCCTTGGGCAGAACCAAGGGTAGAAGATTTAACCCTTTGGGCAGAACCAGATGCCCCTGCGTCCTCCCCCTCTTCCCAGATTGAGGACGGCTGGTGGCTGGGGAAGAAGAACGGGCAGCTGGGAGCCTTCCCATCCAACTTTGTGGAGTTGCTGGACAGTGGGCCCCCAAGTGAGACCTCAACCCTGTGACTCTGTGACCCTGGGACCCCCTGGGACCATACTGCAATCTTCAATGACCCAAGTGGCATGAGCCTGTGATCCACACATCCTGACCCTGTGACTCCTTTGACCCTCTCCCATGATCTAACCTGTGAATTTGCACCCTCCTTAACCTCACTGTCTTCCGCCAGGTAACCCAGACATGCCTTCAATCAGCCCTGGTCCCCAGCGGACTCCCAAGGTAAACTGGGTTAGAGTGGACATAGAGATGGTGAGTTCCTCCTGGGGTGTCTGGAGGCTCAATTTTTTCCTCCCTCTCCCTGCCCCCACTAGCTGAGCAGCCTGAGCTATGACAGCCCTCCAGACTACCTGAGGACAGGTGAGCAGCCAGCCAAAGGGTCCCCTGCCCCCTACTTCTAGGCCACTCTGACTTGGGGGAGGCAGGCAGACGGAGGAGGGTCACTGACTGATGTGAGAGGCTTGGCTTCAGGGGACTGACCTCTCCTCAGTCTCGCGCCCTGAGATCTACAGGGTCCTGTTTGACTACCAGCCTGAGGCCCCAGATGAGCTGGCACTGCAGAAAGGAGACGTCGTGAAAGTACTGAGGAAGGTGTGAGAGGAACAGGGCAGGGACCACCCAGGGAAGGGATGTTGAGAAGGGGTGGGGCCCTGGGAAGAAGGAGTTTTTGGCTTATCTCCCCACTGGCATATTTCTCTCCCAGACCACAGAGGATAAGGGCTGGTGGGAAGGAGAGTGTCAAGGCAGAAGAGGCGTTTTTCCAGACAACTTTGTGCTCCCACCACCCCCAGTGAGTACAGAGCCAGACACAGGTGGCAGGGGGCAGGCTATTTTGGGCAAAGTTGGAAATCATGGTATTCACTGGACACAGCTGGAGGGGCATGGAGCCCCCTAAAAAGAGCTTAGGGGCCATGGTACTCTCTGGACTCAGCTGTCAGCTGGAGGGTTACCCATAAATGAAGGTAGACTTAGATATATGTGGGCTCCTCTTTGGATTCTTTTATTTTTTGAGACAGAGTCTTACTTTGTTGCCTTTGGTAGAGTCCCATGGCATCATAGTTCATAGCAACCTCAAGCTCTTGGGTTTAAGTGATCCTCTTGCCTCAGGTTACTGGGACTACAGGTGCTCACCATAGTGCTGGGCAATTTTTAGAGACGTGGTCTCACTCTTGCTCAGGTTGGTCTTGAACTCCTGAGCTCAGGAGATCCACCCACCTTGGTGTCCCAGAGTGCTAGGATTACAGGTGTGAACTACTGGGCCCAGCCCCCTCTTTGGATTCTAATACAGGTTGTGTATCCCTTATCTGAAATGCTTGGGACCAAAAGTGTTTTTTTGTCTTTTGGGGGTTTTGTAGAGTCTTATTATGTCGCTATTGGTAGAGTGCCTAGGTGTCACAGCTCACAGCGACCTCAAACTCTTGGGCTTAACTGATTATCTTGCCTCAGCCTCCCAGGTAGCTGGGACTATAGGCACCTGCCACAACACCCAGATATGTAGTTGTCATTTTTGTTTAGCAGGCCCCAGTGTATGTGGCCAGCACTCTCACCACTGAGCTATGGGTGCTGAGCCAGAATTTGGAATATTTACATATACATAGTGAGATATTTAGGGGATGGGATGTAAATCTAAATACAAAATTCATTTTTATGTTTCATAAATACCTTAATGTAATTTTATGTATTTTATGTTTTGTGCATGAAACAAGGTTTTGACTACACCCTGTCTCCTGAGGTCAGGTGTGGAATTTTCCACTTATGGCTCCATGTCAGTACTCAAAAAGTTTAGATGTTGGAGCATTTTGGATTTCAGGTTTTTCGAATTAGGGATGCTCAACCTGTACTTCTTTTCTACATAGATCAAGAAGCTTGTTCCACGGAAGGTGATATCTCGAGAATCAGGTGGGTGTCTGGGCAGCCTGGGGTTGGGGGTGCTTTTTGGGAGACCTTACCAGTCCATTTGCTCATAAACACCTGTAGCTCCCCAGTCAGTGGCCCAGACACCCCCTTAGGAGCTCCCTCCCCTGAGGGTCAAGAGCCTACTAGGTATTTATGAGAATCAACACGTGGGTCAATTTATATGTATTAATCAGTTAATGTTTCTCTGTATGTCTTAAGAATGTGGCTCGGCGCCTGCGGCTCAAGCAGCTAAAGCGCCAGCCACATACACCTAAGGTGGC